AATTCACTAACATACAATCAGAAGGGGTCAAAGTTTAGCTTGTAGATAAACTTCACATCTGTTGCCAATATTAGTGAAACAAATACAATCTTTTCTTATGAATGTAATGTGCACATAAAACATAGAGACATTGTTATTTCAGCCATTGAAAGGTCAAATTTAATCATTGGTTTGCCATTTCTAGGCTGAACTCATGTAAATTCATTTAGGCCAAAGTCAGTTTGCCTTTTTACACCTCCCATAGAGAGCATTCAATAAAAGTCACAAAACCTTGAAAATATGGATAGAACCTCCTCATTTAAACTAAATGGTATTAGTGTCACTATTATGATGGGAAAAAAATACTAGCTGATGAGATATTTATTTTGTTAATCAATCTATCAGTTAAGTAACCTTGGCCCATTCATTCATTGCTCATTCCAACAGCCAACAGAAACTAATTTTCTTAAAACATGAAGACTCAGGGTACAAATTAAAACACCAAGCTAGTCTCATTGTCCAGCAGGCATAGTTTATAGGAAATAACTGTTTACACTGAAATTTAGAAACCCTTCTTTGTAAAGGGCTAAACAAGTAGACACAAAAATCTTGGCATTGGTAGCACTGGCTAATGGACAATCTAACTATTTATTCCTATTGGATGCTGCTTCAAAATTGGGATGATTAAAATGTGCTCTGTGCTAAACCAAACTTACCATACTTTTGAAGCAGTTTTATATATGCCAATGCTATGAGGTCAAACCTAACAATTCTATGCATAAAACACATTTTTATGCTTACAAGTGTAATAGAGGAAATACAAACAAAATCAAGTCAAATACCATGAAGCCAATTCAAGCTACCTTGTTTTTTTCTAATGTAAGAAGCTACTTTCAGAATCTAGCTAACAAGCAAAATAAGCCACATTTGATCATTTTCACGTTTTCACATTAATAAAGTTTTACTATGATCCTACTGCGAAAGAGAATGCGAATCATGATACTAAATTACCATCTGCTTTCAGTAATTGAAGGTCAAACACCTGAAGATGGATTATATATTTATTAGGAGTGTGCGAATGGGCCATATTCAATTTGGATTTGGCCTAAATCAGGGGCAGTGATTTGCTTAGTTCATTCAGATCACCGTCCCCGATTCGTTTTGGCTAAATCCAAATCTGAAGATTTAATGCTGATTCGGAGAATCAGAGATTCAGCCATAGACACAGCTTGAAAATGTTTTTTCTACATACCTCAAGGTACCAGGCACGGCTTGTGAACGCTGCGATGGTGGGACAGACGGAGTGTCCCATAGGAGCACTGGGAGTGGGGGCAGTGTGTTCAGAGGCGAACCCGGAAGTGGGCCAGAAATACTTACAGTCCACTTCCGGGTCCACCACTGAGCACACAGGAGGCCCTGCCCTTGCACCCACCTGGCTCAGCAATAGGCTGCGGGGGGGGGGGGCCCCAGGTGCCCCCCCAGACCCAGGAGGCACCAGTTACTGAGCTGGGAGGGGGGGGCCCAGTTAACTCCCCTGCGGACCCAGAAGTGGACCCGAAGTGCTTCCCATCCACTTCCAGGTCTGCTGCTGAGCACGCTGGGGAGCCCCCCATGCTCCTGTGGGATGCTCCATCCGCCCCTTCATCACAGCATTCGTGAGCTCCCTCGTACCATGAAGTATGTAGAAAAAAAACATTTAAAGCTGTATCTACATACAAATCGCCGAATCTTTCTAAATCTCTCCAAATCGATTCAGTGTTCTGATTTGATTCAGAGATTCAGCCACCAAATCGGCCTGTGCGTGCGCATGTGTATAGCAAATCCTGGAAGTTGCTAAAGGGTCTTCAACCAAAGGACAAAGAGAGAAAACATTTAACAAGTTTACTTCTGTAAAAGCATCCATGAAGTTACACAAACGCAAAATGCAGTTGCCCATTGGGACATGCAGGTATTAGCATAACAATGGCATGCTGACCAAAAGGAAACAAGTGCATCTGAAATTTCATGTGTATTATTTTAGTTTTAAGTTCCCCAGTTTCTGATGGGAACTAGTGCCTAAAACCAGTTTATGGGATTGTTTATAAAAGTTAGTTTTTAAAAGATGCATACAAGCTAAACTCAACATAACTTTTAACAACTTAAGTAACTTATTCTCAAAACTGAGTTAAGATATTTTCCCGTTAAAACTTGATAAGTTTGCATTTTAAAAGATAAAATGAAAAGTGGCACATGTCACTGCAGCCTCTGCGATATGGTTGATATTATAAAGTGATGGCAGCTGCAATGTTAAAGTGACACATCTGCATGGTTTATTTTACATATCTAACTCAAATCTTTCAAATTTGAATATATGGCACTTTCCCTTTGCTTCTACTCTTCTCTTGTTAAATATGCAGTTTAATTTACTTTTGCAATACATTAACAATTAGACTACGTTTAACAGAAAAAAAGGACAACGCTTGTGCACCATTTCAGCACAAATCAAGGTAGAATTAATAAATCTTATATATATAATGCATGTATGTATGTGTATATAAATGTTCTTGTGTACTATAATTACTAGGCTCTTCTTTTTCCATCTAAGACTTTTGTACTCTTTGTGAAACTCAGAATATCACCATTTTCCTTGAGACTTCACAGCATCACTATTATCCTTCCAGCTAAAAATCCTGTGCTTCTCCACCCATGGGTCATGCCCCAAAAGTAGGTCACAAGAATATATGAAAGGGTCACAAACAAAGTTTAAAAACTGATCAAACTTTTCAAATGGATTCTCCTTTAAAAGGAGAAAAATGTGGGAAACTGTGGCTTTTCTCTTGCAGGCTGGCAGAGTTCCAGCCTGCGAAGGGCTGCTTGGGGCTTTTTGGGGCCCCCCCCATACTCCCTACCCACCCCCTGCCCCACATACTGAGGGTCTTGGGCCTGAAGGTGGAAGGCAACAGATCAGGAGTGAAGAACACTAGGTTAGGACTAGTCTCTGATGTTTACAAATGGGTCCTGGTACAAAAAAGGTTGAGAACCATTGAGCTAGAGAATGAGACTGCCGTCACAAAATCCTCTCCCTTGGTCTGAGCATGTTCTCTGTAGTGATGAAGCCTTTTACACAGTAGGAGGGCAAGAGTTGTAT